ACCTAGGGTGTGTCAACATCGATGAAGGGGGACCCTGCAACCCAACAGCCACGTTCACCATACTGCTCACTGTTGCTCAGCTACGTGTGGCACGCAGGCAGGGGAGCCGTGCTGCATACTGAGCGCATGCTCCCGGGACCGCAGGGCCGCCCGCCCCGTGCATGCATGCGCCGCCCGTCGCGCCCCACGCATGCGCCATCCCATGCATTCGCGCCTGTAGTACAGCAGCACCGGGTACAGCCCCTCGTCGCACAGCCGCGACGCCAGGTGCGCAGTAGCTGCACCCCTGGGGTCGCGGGGGAACAGGCGGCCGGCGGTGTCAGGGTAGGTGGCTGCCAGGTAGCGGGCTATGCAGCTCGAGTCCGGCACGAGGGTGTTGCCGTGGTACATCTGCAGCAGCGTTTGTGGGAGAGATTGGGGCCTCGATTAGGGGGACTTTTGAGGGCCGTTTGGGGGCATTGAATCGGGATTATTTCCCAATTCAATGCACACGGGGGCGGTTTGAGAGCCGTTTGGGGGCGGTTTTTGGGGCCGTTGCCAGAGTAGGGGGCCGCGGGGCGGTGACAGGGGACAGGCCTGTGGTCAGAAGCCGGGGTAGCAGGGCCGTGCGAGTGTGGGCTGCCGGGGGTGATGGCAGGTGGGCTGGATGCTAGGTGAAAGCCCTGTCGCGGATGCTGATTGCTGATTGCTCGTGCCCTGGCGCGCAGTGAGGCCGGCGCCAGGGCGAGCGAATCGAGGCGTGCGTGCCGCACGAGGTGAGGGCCGGCAGCTGGGCTGCTGGACCCATGGGCGCACGGCCGGGCCCCGCATCATGCATAAAATGCGCGGGGGCGCCGCTCACATACGGCCACTGCTGCAGGGGGTTGGGGTTGGGGTGGATGGGGGCGTCTTCCACGGTGTGCCTGCAAGCGGCAATAATGTGCAAGCGAAGGGCATCGAACCCTCGTGAAAACGGCAGGCGCGGGCGAAGAAAGGGCTTGATGACGTGTCAAGCCGCCTTGAATGTTGCTGGGCGGGGGATCTGCAGCAGGAGTTGCTTGCCAGGCATGCCTGAAGCCAGGCGGCCAAGCGGGAGAGGAGGCACGAGGCGGCTGGACCGTGTGCAGGCAGAGGTGCAGGGCACAGACTGGAGGTCGTCGGGCTTGGCAGGCCGTAACCCCAACCAGTGCGGCGCGACCATACCGCAGGCACTCACGGCAAGCCAGCGAGGCGGCAGAACGCAATAACCTGCGCATGCAATGTGAGAAAAGGGCGCCTTCTCGCGGGCTGTGTCTTTTGGTCTTTTGCTGCACGCCCGCGCACGTGATGAGCGGGCGGGCGGATGACGGAGCGCGCCTCGCTGGCAGCGGCCTGAAGGGCATCTGGTGCGTCCTTTGCGGTCTCTCTGGTGTCCAAGCAGCAACGTGAGCCGCGTGGATGGCGGCCACTGGCCCTGCTCACCTTGGTGGCGAAGGGGCTTGCATTGATGCAGGTGCCAATGCGAACGGGCGGCACCATCACGCGGATGGGCAGTCCGGGATCACCCAAAACCGGCAAGTCTGGCACTGCGGGGGCCATTGCGTCACGTCGGGGTTTGGGTGTACATAGATGGGCGAGGGACGCCACGACAAGTTGCGATCGGCTTGCGCTGGCAACAAAGACTACCGTATCCGAATCAGCGCGCCGCAGTGTCGCAAAATTTGGTTTGGGATTCAACTCACTAGCACAAATGATTGTACATGTCATACTGTTTAGAAGCTGATCGCGCATAGGTTGCCGTTGTTCAGTTGTGTTCCGGAAGCACCACGGCTTCCTCCCAGCTGCTCCATTCTGATTGCTGAACTGTTGCGGTATTGAGGAGATTTACCGTAATTGTTTTACGTGGCGTTCTTACGAACTTGTGGAGTTGAAGCAAGGTGGCAAGGAAGGCCCAACGAGCTCGGCGCATCCAAGCATAGCAAGGCGGCAGCAAAATACCACCGTCCTTTTCAAGTGACTAACAACAAAGCTCCCTATTGACACCCTCTTAGAGCATACATCATCACAATGCTCGCCTTCCACAACACGCGGGGCCTTGCGTCCGGACCATCGCGTGGGCGCGGCAGCGCCAGCGGCCTCGGGGCGCGTGCCGTGACGATGCGCCAGCGGCGCACAGCAAGGGCGGCGCCCCGCGGCGACGGCGGGGCGCAGGGCCAGCAGGCTGAGAAGCCGACCGCAGCCGCCCCCGCGCGGAGCCAGGCGCAGCAGGCCCTTCAGAGCCGCCTTGTTCGCTCCCTGAGGGCCGGCGCCGCTTTCCTTCTGAATATGGCGTTTGCGTACGTGGTCGTGATGTTTTCCATGATCTTGGGGATGCTGCTCGCCCAGCCGTTGCTGGTGAGCGGTCGGCGACCTGCGCCTGCCGGCGTAAAGTGCGCAGCGCGCGAGAGCAACGGGCAAACGCGTTGTCGGCGCCAGGTGTCCGGCGGGTGCACGCGCGCCGCAGCCTCCCCGCCCCTGGCCACGCTTGACCCCAAGCCGACGCGCGGGGGACGGTGCCGCTGCCGCATGTCCCATCGCTGCGCAGGATCTGGTGGTTCTCCTGGCGAGCAAGCTGGGGAAGCTCCCCCGGGTGGAGGCGGTGGGTGTGCTAGCGGCGGCCGTCGCGGCGATCTACGGCCTGGTCCAGGCGATACACAGCGCCGCCGGCTTCAAGGCCGGCGTCGCCGGCGTCGCCGGCGCCATGGCCGACATTGAGGCCAAACTTGACGCGTGCACCAAGAAAGTTGACGAGGCGCGCGCCTTCACCGAGCGGCTGGACCGCCTGGAGAGGCGGCTGGATGCTGCAATCGCGTCCGCGCTGGCGCGGCGAGGGGCCGGCGCCGCGGCGGCGCCCGGCGGCGGCGGCATGTAGCGGCGTTGGCGGCGGGACGGCGGGGGCAGGCGGCGGCGTTTTGGCATTCGCGTGGCCTCGATCGCCGTTGACACGCACGCTTGGCTCCTCTGGACCGTCCCGGAGTTGGTGTTGTCAATGCAATCAGCACTTTTAGCTCCGGTCGTAACAGGCCCTGCAATCACGCTTCATCCCCTTGGGCTTGCCATGGCCAACACGATCTTGCAGCGGTTATCCGGCTGCAACGCTTATGGATCCAGACGTGCGTGAAAATATATGCTTGCTTACAGCCCGCGCCACTGAGAACAAGCTTGCAGCCAGCGTGAAAGAGCCATGGCACGCGCGCCCGTGCGCGGCGCCCAGGCCGCAGCAGCGCACCTTCGGGGAGCGATCAAAGCCCGCGCTGCACGTCACAGAGCTCTGACGCCACCTCCCTCACTCCCAGAGCCCCTGCCGACCGCAGCGCCAGGATTAGTAAAAGGATTGGGATTTAGGATTAGGATTGTTGCAGCGTCCCGCGGTCGCCCGCTCCTGGAGCCGCCGCCGGTGGCGGGCCCGCGGCCTGTGCGTGACTGCCACGGCCCAGCAGGTCAGCGGCACGGGCAGCACGTCCCGGGGGCCCTCTGGCTGTACCCTATTCTGTGCGACAGCCTCAAGATTGTGTGTGGCTCATCGAGGCGTGGGGCTGCTGTGGGCCCCGCACCGCTCAGGCTCGGCAGGCGTCCGGCAGGCCACCAGGCGCCCTGCGGCTGCGTGCCACGTGGCCCTGCATGTTATACCGCTCCGATGTTCATACAAGCGGCACGCCTCCACGCCTTGGTCGACGCGCCGCGCCCGGCCCTGCCTCGTTCGCGCGGGCAGGGGAGTGCAGAGGCAGCAACAACCACAACAGAACGCCACGGGTATGCAGGCGGCTGGCAGCCGCACCCGCAACAGTGCCTCATCCCAACACCCACATGACTTCAATTCCCGCCACTGCGAGTTGAAGACAGCGAAGAAGTCATCCTGGGCCCTGCAGCACAGCAGAGGGGCGATTTGGGCCTGGTGGTGTGCACATGTGCTGTGGCGCGACGCGGTGCAGCGCGCGGTGTACACTCACTCTTTTGCTCCCGGAACAACGGTCCCTCTGGAGGGGGCCCCTCCTCCCCTTCCAGGGGCAGCCAGGGCCCGGGGGCCAGTGTGCACTATATAACGAGGGCGTCTACGTCGTCTGCAGGGAGCTAATAGCGTCCGCGCGCCCACGATGAGCGTTGCGATCCGGAGTGCCTCTCAGGTGCCCTGCTGCATCAGATCAAGCGCTCACGAGCAGCGCAGGCGATGTCTAGTGCCGTCTGTCCTGCGGCCCTAAACCCAATACAGCTCTCGTGATTTGTTTTGCTACCTTGTGGGTGCTGTTCGGGTTCCGTGTCGTGCGACGCAGGCAGCTGCTGCGCACCATTTCTGACCAAGCTGTTTGAGGATGAGTTGTACTCGCTCTCTCGTCATCAAGCGGTCCAAACCCGCGTGCTGCCTTTGTGAAAACCCCTGACAACCTGCATCGGATACTGCACACGATCAATTGGAGGTGAAATCACCTCCAATTTCAGGCATCGGCGACAGGTGCACGTTACTCCAAACCTCTGGCAAAGAGCTCTCACCCGTCACCCCCCAACGAAACAAGTAAGGTCGACCGAAATCCACAATCCACGGCCTAATGAAGCACAGTCCATCACCACCAAATTGAATTCAAGTGTTGAGCAGCAGTTGCAGATCCCGGCGAGAAGAATGGGTTCTTAGGGGCAGGATCAATGTGAGATGGAATCCTCTGTCCCCCTTGCGTGAAGACACGCTTGCCGATTGTTGAGATAGCAGCCAGGCACATGCGCATGTGCATAACGTTTCAGTGCGGGCAGAACAGCAGGAAAACCATCCATATCAACAGGGCAGCTGCTCTGCAGCGCGCTCCACACGGACTTTTCGGGCCCTTATCACACAACATCGGCAGGAAGGCCAGGTGCGGGCAGTGGCCTGCACGACCGACACGTGCACACACATGCATGCGTCCGTCAAGCCACCAGCCCCAGGCCGCTCGCAAACATCAGCACGCAGCAGAGCACCATCAGCACACCCAACACTTGCTGGAACACCCTCTGACCCATGCGCTTAGACAGCTGGTCCCCCACGATCACCCCCGCCAGGCCCGCCGCTGACGTCACTCCGTAGAGCTGGACGTCTTTGATGACAATGAGGCCCATCATGTAGTATGGCACCAGGCGGAACTGGAGCAGGTTGAGCCAGGAGTTGTTGCCGCGGACGGTGGCCTTGGGGGTGTCCAGGGCGCGGTACATGATCATGATGGGGGGGCTGGGGGTGGGGGTAGGGGTAGGGGGATAGGGGTGGGGGTGGAGGCCGGGTGAGACGGGGTGTTTCGTGAACGCAGGGGCAGGAGGCGAGTGTGAGGGCCGCTGGTTGGGGACAAGAGAGAGGAAGGACATGCGGATGGCTCCTTGGGTCTAAGAGTGCGCGCTGACAGCAACGGATGCGCGCTGCCAGCCAAGGGGGCGCCCGCGCTGGTGTCGAGATTCCCCCGGGCCCGCGCCGCCTGGGACTGGCGTGACCGCGACGCAGCGGCCGGACGCATGCTGCGCCGCTGAATGAAAGGCGCTGCACTCACCCGTTCATCCCTGCGTCCGTTTGCGGACGGCGCCGCGGCGACACACGCGAGGATTGGGAGGTAGGGCGAGGCAGGGCAGAGACGAAGGGGTCACACAAACAATATAGATCAGATTGGCATGCTCGGCTCGGCTCGCTACAGAGGGCGCACC